AGTCAGCATGCACAATGCCAAGACTTGAAACAGCCAAATGAAATTCAGCCATTATTAATTTAATTTTTTTTTGTTTTTTACACTTGTACTTTTCCTACTGTGTGTCAAAATGTCTTCAGCTCCCATTATCATTATTATTTTTGTTCACTTGGGGGCAGCACAACACAACATTGGCTTTATCACTTCACAAAGTTGATGTGGATAGTGTGTTTGCATATAGCCTATTACCACATCCAGCACATACAGCAGCGCGAGCATTCTGTTGGAGTGGTTTATTTGCAGCTTTAAAGACTAAATGTGCAAGCATTTGGAGAAGTTCAGGGACTGAAGTAGACTGTCATATTGACCATTAAAACTGAACTTCATAGGGACATTATAATCCTAATTGTTTAGTAGCCAGTTGTTTAGCTCAAGTTCATATTTAGCAATGTGGTTGGAAAGAGGTCACTTAAAGACTGTGTGCATCTGTGTGCATCTGGCAGTCAAGCTGCAACCATTTGAATACAGCTCAAAATGCTGTGGTGGTACTTCAGACCAAGACCACTGATTGTGTCCTAACCATGAATGTTTAAATCCAGTGCATTACTTTAAGTGATCACATTTAACTATAAAATAAGTAAATTAAACAGTATTGTGTGTTGTGCTTAATCTTGGAATAGGACTTTTTATTGGTCTCGTTCTAGAGTCTCCCTCTAAACTTGGACTGGTTTTGACAGGCCTAATGTTGCTTTAGTCTTTTACAAATTTTTTTGTTCAAATTAAGGATGTCAAGCAACCTGTATTTAAAAGCTACCAAAATGACTTATTAAAGGCATAATGTTTCAGATGTGTGAAGGATTTTGTTACATCTAGTGCCTGTTAAACAGTGGAACACAGCTTATTGTATTTGTATTTAAATTTTTAATTATGATATCTTGATAATAATACGTGTAATTTGATTTTGTGTTTTTTGCATGTGTTTTTACAGAAGGAAAACCAGAAAATATTTTCTCCATAAAAGCTGATCCGGATCAGAGTCATAAATCACACCGGCACAACAGTGGGGTAAAGGTGAATTGCACTCAAACTGTAGAAGCACCAAGGAAATACACATTTTAATGTTGCTTTAAGGTATTCAAAAGCATTTGACAGTATAATACAATTTAATGACATCTTAATGGAAAGGCCAAATTGTACCGCTGAGGTCAAGGAAAATATTTATGACACAATTGTAATGGTCTCATGACAATGTCAAACCACCCACATATGATATGCTGTTTTAATGTTAATGTTAACACATAAAGACAAATATCTACTGTAAGTATGATAATTAGGACTGCTAAGCCATGTTTATGAGGTATTGGTTAATGTCAAGTTGTCATAACACAGACATCAAAAACAATGTAAAGACTTATGCACACTCCTTCAAATGAAGTGTTACAGAAAAGCTTATTGATCTTTAGGGAAATGCTCCTGTTTGTCTGTGATTTGCATTGTTGCAGAACCCTGGTGCCACATTTCAAATGCAACTTCTCAGTTAGAAAAACCTAGTTTTCAATGATACTGTTGAAACAGTACTACTTTCTACAATCTGCCATAATTCATCACCTGTGTAAGAAATGTATGTACGTCAAACCAAAGGCAGTTTCAAGTTCATTACCTCCATCGTTATAAGACAAGTCTTATGGTTTCACAGTGCACTCCTAAAATACTAAAAAGAGGATGTGGGTTGAAGCTTGATGTTATTAGCATTTACCATGGTAACAGTGACATCAGACCTATTTGTTATAAACACTGAGAATGAAAAAAAACTGAAAGCTGACTTTTCGGTTCGTGTTTGCATGTGCTTGGTGAAGTGAGAGGAGGGTTTCTCTGTTAGAACTGTTAACTGTTAAGATCTGTTAAAACATTTTTTAGTCATTGCACATTTTTACATCTGGAGAATATAACAATCACTTACAACAATGATAAATGAAAAAGTAAAATATAAATAAATCAGTTATTCATTTCCTTATGATTTTTTGTCAAAGCCACAGTGACTGAAGGAGGTCAAACGTTGCTCCAGAGCTGCAGGCTGCCTAGCCCTGGCCACTGGCTGTGGCCACCCGAGTTTCTCCTACACGCTCGGTTGAGTCAAGGGGTTTCAGTTGGTTGCTATCTCACCACTAGATGCCACTAAATCCATCTTTAAAGAGACTAGACCTATTTTTCCATTCACCCCAAAGTAATGATGTACATTTTCCTCAGTATCACTTGCATGCTCAAACAGCATCGTGCATTAGCATCAGAATCATGCATAGGTAAATGGCATTATACATGAACTGTTGCTGAAGAGCATGGTGTCCACTACAATGGAGAGATGTGTACGTTTGTTAAAAATGATACCTTAAAAAACAAATAGACATTTAAATGTGGTTTGTAATGAACTTTAAAAAAAATGCAGTCCTTTGTGATTTAATATAATAAGCCTTCAAGGGTGAAATTAAACAAATAAAAACATGGTCTCACTATTAATGTTTGCATCTACAACTGCACAATGGTGTACAAAGTTAGTTTGTCCTTCTTTCACTCATTTGACAGTTTTTTTTACTGCTCATTATCTGTATAGCTTCTCCAGAAGTCCTGTCCCTTTCATTACATGTTGAATGCTACAGCCCCCAGCAGCACGGGAAAAACACCGTATGAAAGCCATCCATCCCCCTTTGGGAATCAAGAGGAGCCCCTATTCATTTGCTTAATTACCTAATTAACAGAAAGCTAATTACTTTGTTGTGTGCATGCGTATGTGTGGAGAGGCTGTTACGTAACTGATAGTGATCCTCAATTAATTTGTAACTACACTCCATCAAGTCAGGGCCCTAATCCACACAACACATCACCAGCGTGACACCAACAAAACACGATAATGAATTCAGACCCAGACACATGGCTGCTGGGCTCCGCTGCACTCATAGATCCAGTATTGACATGCAGATCAAGCCAGTGAAGAATTAGAAAGCATAGATCACGCGTTAGATTGTCTTCATGACACCGTACACACATTTGAATGTTTTCATTAATTACACCCGACAATAATGTTTACAACCTTTTGAAAAAAATTGCTCAACATACAAATCATAGCAACTCTAAATCCTGTTAGGAATATAATGGGGATAATATAGTTGTACCATAAGAGGTCAAATTACATGAAGTAGAAGAATGTGCCCTGATTCATATATTTGAATCCAACTCTGCAGCTTTGTACTTGTGTTGCTGTGGCTTAATGGGCCCTGAGGTCATTGAACACAGCATTGTAGTTGTAGGCCATGCAGAGACTGATGCATGTCTGTGTGCCTTCAGGGTACTTGCTACAACATATACATACTACATAAAGCCAACTCTCAGCTGTGGGATTGTGTGGGATGTGTTTTTTTTAAAAACTATGGAAATATATTTTAAAATATATATTACTATCAATTATCACTATGTTATGATATATATTGTAATTACTATGGAAATATTATGCTGTGTACATGTAATACAAATTCAACCTTAAACACAGTTAAAGACCTGGGGCTTGATCACCTGGTCTAATTCCTTCATTTCATTTCCTTGTTCTTAACAATTCTTTTGTCAAAATTGTTGTTTTTCAAATGTATTTGTCTACAATGTTTACAGGGCCATTGAGGACCCAGGGGTATGTAAGAGTGTTTTTTGTTTGTTTGTTTTTGTCATAGTAGGTAGGTAACAGGAAATAGTAGGCAATGTTTTGTTTTCCTGTTTCCTCATTTTGTGTTACCGTTACTATGAATTAACCCAGACAAAAGCATGAAGAAGTTTGTTTATCTTAGTTTCCTGTCACAGTTGATAGAGTTTTGTAGGTGTGTCTAGGGTACGGCAGTGCAGAACTTTGTTTAATATTGAAAATGAAGACATGCCTGAAGCCTGATAAAGATCACATTTCTGTGGCAAAACTGTTTTCAGGGGTTTACTATTGTTATATGCTCTGAAAAGTTTCCAAGCATTATTATTTCAATTTCACATTTACTTAACGGTTATGGCCTGATGTATGTTGGCCAAACACCCATTGTACTGAAGGGTTAAGGATATTAATGCAGGTAAGAAACTGTGTAGTGACACGCCAGAGGACAAACTCACATACTACAGATTAAGTGGTTATTCTGGGGAAATGTTATAGTCATTTTTCCTGTGACTGGGCATGGTCAGAGGGTGGCGCTCTCTACTAAGAAACAGACTTTCCTAAGAGGGTTCATCAGCAGCATTCCTCCCAGATGTAGCCATGATAAATGTAATGTCGTTCACAGCGAAATGAGCTGTGCTTCTCAGACCTTGATCAAGGGCAAAAAACGACTTAAAATATTTTCTCTTGAGGTTAAATTAATGTTGCTTTACAATGAGTGTTAACTGGACTGTTGAACTGGCCCGTGATAATTCTCGTCTGCAGGGGCAAGTGACAGATTTTAATTACTGTCATAATGTTTTTTTGCACTTCTTGTGACAGTCATGTTGAGGGGAAACTGTTTAGGTGTGAGCAAAGACGTTTCAACCACATAAAAAAGCAGAGATTCTAACTTTGTGCCGATTCAGATGCAGTCAGGTCCCCTTACAAGTATTCTGAAGAATTGGCCCGCCGTCAGAAAATATAGAACCTGCACTCTGGTTATCTCCAGTCATTTTCAAAACCATAATACCACCCCTCCTTCAACAGTTACAACTCCTCACAAGTGAGATTAAAACATCTTTGATGATTATGTCAAAGCTTTTAATTTTTTTTGTAGTAAGGCTTTGGAACAGTTATGATGAACCATAGATCAAAAAAGAAGAGAAAAAGACAGGATTGAAATTATAGAACTGAAATAATAGAAGTTCATTCTGCCTCAGTTGTAATTAGTCAGCTTAGACATTTTAGCTTTTCTGACAGCCCCCTCTCTCCTGTCACACTTTCAGCTAAAACTAATGCATATCATTACATTTCCCCATAGAAAGGACCTGCTAAGTGCTACTAAGTGCTACTGAATTGTACTTGTGACTATGATGCGTCTATGAAGGATCTGCGATGCATTGAACGTTGTTTACTCTCGCAGGTGGATATGACGTCACGGACTTGGGACATAAAAAACAACAACATCCAAACATCCATCCGCGATTCTTCCTTTTTTTTTTTCTCCTTCTTTTCTCGGCGTGTTAAAATCTAATAACAACATTAAGAAAGAGAGCTCGCGCCTTTCCCCGCGAGGCACACCGGGAGGCAGCGAGTGTGAAACTCCACATTTTGCCTTTTTTGTTTCTCGACGCCCTCGGTAAGATTATCTCTTTCTCCTTGTAGTGAAGTTAGTCCCCCCACCTCGCCACCAACGCCGAGGCGTCGCACGCGTTCTCGGTACACAAGCTCGCGTGCACGGCTTCGTTATCTCATACTAGCAAATCGGTACCCTCCGCGTGCGCCTGTTAGCTGCTGTAAAGCGTTTTCCATTGCGGGTAAGTTTCACTATTATCATCATGTTAGTTAACATTAGCTTTGTATCGTGTCTACATACCTGCCGCTGCTGCACTCAAATACACACACACACACACACACGGAGTTTGTCTCCGGTTGTTGCTGCTGTTTTCTAGAATGAGCGAAATTAGCCAAATAAACAAATAAACAAACACCTGTATTATTATCATGTAGGCTGCCTGCTAGCGCTGTTTAATGTCTCTGTTGGTTGGGAGCGGCTGTTACAAGATTGTTTTCGTGCTACGAGTGTTGTATCCACTACTTTTTTGTGTTGCAAAGTTGGGTTTCTAACTTAGTTGAGGCTACTCAGGAGACCCCGGGGGGGGGAAATGCATGTTTATAACCTCCGTCGGTTATAAAGTGCTGGTTAGCGATAGCCGTTAACAGTCCGTAATTACTGCCCTACCTGTTAGCATGGAGCCGTAAAGTTTTTAACTTTACACGGCGAAAGGGAAGTTTGAGTGCCGTGATTTCTTTGGAATAAGACCAGGGAAGGAGCTTTTCCCCACGTGTTAGCTGTCCTCCAAACTCCGAGAGACCGGAGGAAGGCATTACAAGTGCCCTAAACTGTAGTTATTATAGCCGTAATACAGCTTTAGCTAACAGACAGGTCAACTTTTATTTTGGCTGTCCATCATTGGCGTTATTGAATGCTGTGTTGGTGTGACTCGTCCGCTCAGCGAGAAGACGGCACACATTTAAAAGCGGATATTCAGCTCATATTTAACTTTTAATGAACACAAAGGATTTAGGGAGTTGGTTTTTAATTATACTTAACTAATAGTCACACCTCGACATTACAAGTTTTTGACATTGTGTCTTTATTTAGCTGTGGTTTGAACTGAATGGCGTTACTGAGTCAGATATGGTGTGGGTACAGATGGACATTTTCTTAACTGTAAATAGGCTGAAGTTGCACAGCACTTTATGATCACTTGTGGGGAAAAAAAGTTTAGAACAATTAAAAATGAATTAATAAATAATAAATTAGAAATTACCAGTAGTTTCTATTGGGTTTGAATGGATTAAATTGTTGTTGTTTTATTTTACTAACATGGTATACACTGTCCAAAGGAATGCACTTGAGCAAAATATTTTGCCCTGTAGAAATACACCGAAAGCAAAGCCATCAAGTAAACTTACGTTCAAAATATTTTACCTATCTATTTATCTATTTTCAGTTTTCAGTTTTAATTAACATTTCATAACAGGTGTATGTGTATGTAATGTGCAGCTTTTAAATGTGTGTGTTCATATTATAAACACGTGTCTCTTGTATTTAATCCATGTTGATTTATTATTATTAATTCAGTCAGACAGAATTAGTATTTTCACCAAAAGCCATCCTTTTATATAAATACATACAGATTGCGTTTGTCCGTTGAGAGTGAACTACATACGTATAAGAATGAAACACTACCCTAATATTTTATACAGTAAGTCTGCAGCTGGCAACAGCAGGACTAAAAGCATCTGAAATTTTACAAAAGGGAAACTGCAGCTTTAACAACTATTGCTGGCAGTGCTCCCTCCTTCTTGGTCTTTGGATTAGTCATTGTCTGAGGGGGAAAAAAACACTTTTTTGTAGGAGAAGTAAAGTAAACAGCCTCCAACAAGCGAACCTTGACAACCCAGATTAAGGAAAACATTGGAGATCAAACAGTGCTGCTGCTGGGCTGTTGTCATGAGCTGCCTGAGAGAGAGCTGCAGACTATTTGAACAGGCACTGGGGTTTGTGTGCTCACTTATGCAGAAATGGACCTTCGCAAATGCTGACCCAGGTTTTAAAACACAGGATGAACTTTCTTTGCAACTTTTCCAGGCCTGCCGTTTGACACGGCTGTAACATGCAGACCCAAGTCAGCCTTCTGCCGTCTGTGATGGGAAAAACCTAACACTGTCCCCGCGTCTGCTTCTAGAAACAAGAATGGCTGTAATTTCCCTGCCCCATAGTACAGCTGAATACATTGAGTTGGCGGGGGGGGGGGGGGGGGGGGAAGGGGAGGGGGGGGGGGGGAGGGAGGAAAGTGAAAAAGGTTGAAATTTGAGGAAGAGCAGCTGTATGCATTGTAATGATGCAAGATCCTTTACGCAGCAATCTGTGATTTTGTGTTATTTGGAAAGCCCTTGTTTCTAGTTTGGCCACTTCAGGCTGTGGCTAAGGCTCTTCTTTGTAGAGAGTTGAGGTTGAACTAGTAAGAAAGTAATCAGTCACTCATGCATTCAGTGTGGGGACTCCCATCCCTGAGTGGAGCGGCGCTCTCTTTCATCTGACGGCTCAGTATTTGTGAACACACACTGAAATACCCTGTGCTGGGTACGGAGGGGCTGTAGACTGACTGTGCACCCTTGCTTGCAGCAGAATGATAAGGAGAGTTATTTTGGGCCCAGTGTGGGAATAAGGTTCTGCATTTTGCTGTGTTGTTTCTATATTAGATTTATTTGCCAGCTTCACCCCTCATTTGATTTCAGATACAAGACGCCCTCAAACCAGTGGCTTGAAACATTTCCGCACAAAGCACGACAAGTGACAGATGAATAAAAGGGAATTTTCTGGTAAATGAATTTGTCATGTGAGTTTTGCATGTTTGATTCACACAAAACAAAGAGGGAAGAGTACAGGCAATCTGAATACGAGTGCAGCACACTCATTAGTGCTGTATTACATGAATGGATGTGATAACAAAGGAAAGCAGAACAATATTTCCAGGGTAAAGGTTAGTGTGTCCCGGCCCCTGTGGCGTGCCACAGGCAGACGCTTCTCCATGCCAGGGAAGGCGATTGGTCAGAGAGTGGACAGCTTCAGGTGTGCTCTGTGCAGCTCCTCAGTCTCTATGGAGACTGCAAAATGCTCAGGACGGCCATTAACTCATGCCGCCATTAATTACTGTCTCCTACTGTCATCTGTCCTTAATAAAGGGAGGGAGGCCGACACAAAATAGATCCATCTGCATGGAAGGAGAGCGAGCATGTGACTACAATCAATTAACTGGAGTTAAAACATGATTTTGCTACTGGTGGTGTTGTGGTTCAGGAATTCAGTACAACATTGCTGTGCAGAAAGTCTGTTGTTGGAAAATATGGAAGTGTCATGCATATTTAGTTCTATCTGTCAATGTGTGTATTAAATGAGTTGGTGTGTTGGTTTCAGGTAAAAGTAGTGTTGTTATTTGAATAAATAATGGGCCTTTTGTAAATGCAGTTAAGTTTGAATTAGGATTGATGGGCTGCATAACATTGTTATATTGCAACGATACCGGTTTAAAAATATTTAGCTCAGGCCCTTTCTCTGTATGTATAATTCTAATTCTCAAAATACTCATTTATTTGATCTTGATTTGAATCTAGTTGAATGTGTTTTGGGCTGGAAACTACAGGAAACAGCTGATTTGACTGATTGTGTTGCTGAAAGCCTTCATATTCAGGTGTCCACACATTGTTTGGATAATCAATAATGAAGTTAGTACTTTCTGAGCGAGCTGTCTTTCTTTCTGTATGAACTTTGCTGCTTGTTTTCTTAGGCACACGATGTCCTGCTCTCATGTTGAGTCTCTTAGCATGCAATAACTTAGACGCAGAGTTTCTTTAGCAGCACAGCCGTTTTCTGGTTTGGGAATGATGCAGGTAAGCTACAAACATTTTTGTCCAGACATGAGGGGCTCAGCCATATGCTACAAGCTGTGCTCAGCTGCCAGGCCAAACCTCTGCACCTGTTTCCATCAGCTGTCCAGGCCGTATGTCCGTCTGCGCGTGTTTATGATGTGGCTTCGATGGCCTTATGGATGACAAGGCTTTTGTTTTATGGGAACAAATCAAATATGCGTTGATCCATGTTTAGTTAATACTCTGGCATAACCTGACGAGCTCAAATGCTGTTTCGTTTGTCATTCCAAACTCTGAGTAATTCCTCGCTGTTTGAACGTCTACAGTATTTTCAAAAGTTAATGTTCAATCAAGAACTTACCACATGCGGTCCAGATCTCCAAAGAGATATCTCTTGCTTTCTTTTGTAGTCTAGACCAGAACTTTACAAAGCAGAAAGCTTGATGTAGATCCTAATAATGTTTTTTTTTTTGAATCCGTTGTTACAGTTTTCAGTAAGTCATTTTGCTTTTTTCAATTTTGGACAAGTCAGCAGAAGAGAAAAACAATGTGGTGACTGTTGTGCTGCTGTTGGTATTAGGCTATTCCTGAACTCATATGGTGGTATGCATGTCGTGTTTAAACTGATGTGGGCTCTGATATTTACCTGAAAATACACCATGTGACTTGAGAGTGGAGGAAGAAGCAAGCATCCGTTTAAAGTTGTAATTTGTAAAGGTATTTTTATGATAAGTGCCTATTATTCTGTGTGATATTTCAGTTTCTAGTGGCGGCTGCTCATGTTGTCCCCAGGTTCTTCTGTTTATCAAACAAACCTGCTGTGTTCCTGCTGCTGGAAATGAAAACACCTTCACTTGCGCCGGAGTTTTTCAGATATTAAGACCTGTCCAAAACTGCATGCTTAGAGCTGCGAAATAAAAGCTTTTATAATCTGCCTATAGGTTCAATCATTTTTACGCCGTATCAGTGTGAGAATGAAAGTAGCAAAACCGACATTCACTAATGTGAAAATGTCACCGACTGTTACTTAAACCCTGATAAGAGTAGGCGAGGTTGCAGGAGCACATCTTTAAGGGCCTCATCCTTGACTTGTTGGCTGTGTTTTTCTGCTGGCAGTCCCTGCCTAATAAGAAACATAACATGGCAGGGCCTGCTCTTCCATCATCATTGCTGGGTGGAAAGTTGGTGTGCTTTGATCATGTCTTTTGGGCGCATCACTCCGGCTTAGCCTGCTGCTCGCTATGTGATAAGCCATCAGAGTACTCAGATCTAAGCCGGCAGCTCCGTGGGCTTGAGGAGAGACAGGAGAGAGTAATGGAGATGAGGAGAGAGCAGCAATGCAAATTTTGTTGACAGACTGTTACTGCAGCTGTTCCCT